TTTGATGAGAAGCTTGTAAAGCATACTTAGCAAGCATATTCGGTAGTTTCTTAGATATTTACGTTCGCCTTTATCGAAGACGAGGACGTCCTTGAGCTTCTACACTGGTTGGAGATCCTTTCATTTTGTAGGTAAGGCGTTAGATGCAATGCGAGAATTTCGTGTAAACGGTGCTCTCGGGGCTGGAGAATTCGAGAGAGAGGTGGTCTGGTCTCGAATCTGTGGAAGTCTTCAAGGTGTGAATCTCAGTGCGCACTGCAGCAGGTAGAATTCGTGGTTGTACTTCTCCAGTGGGAACAGCGGGCATCGGCAAGGTGTTAATGAGCAGAAGAGATTGGCATGAAAGTTCCCGCGATGGGTTCCATATTCGGGGAGAAGTCGGAATCCCGTTTTTGTTTAGCAGCGCTGCCAGCGGCACATGATACTCGCAAAAGTCCATTTGGCACTCATCGAGACTTCGTCTTCATTCAGCTGCTTCCAGCACCTTTGCGTGCCTGTACTTGCGAAAATCTTCCTGCGATATTGTTCTGCAGTGTCGGTCGCTATCAGTCGCTCGTGATGGAATTCATTCAGATCCTTTCTCAAGGCTCTTCTCTTTCGTGTAATCGCTTGGTGATCTTTGAAATAAAATTTAAGTCCTTTTTAAGAGTCGCTGGGCACATTCCACGATCATTTTTGAAGCCGTTCGTAGTCCTACATTGTGTCCTCCTGGATGGGCCACGGCCAGTCACAATTCGATTTAAGCTCCTCCAGCCTATCACCGTAAACGACCTTCTTCCCTCTTGCGACGCTATAATCGACCTTTTTTTCGCTTTTGATTAAATCGTAACTGCAGAAGGATGAAACTACAAACATTGAGTAAGCCCCACTCCAGTTAATGATGATGTGGTCGATTTTAGCATGAGTTGTTGCGTGGGACTATTCCCATGTCCACCGGTGACGATCATTTTCCATGAAGATGGAGTTTTGGGAAAGTCATACGTCGGAGAGAAGCCTAACGAGACAGTCTTCCCGCTCCTATATTCCGCTCTTGGTGGCATCCCGATTTTAGAAGGCGCCCATAACAAATTTGTAGAAGGAGACTTCTCGCTGCGGACGACCTGCTCCACGTCTTATCAGCAAGCAACTGGTTCTAGTTCGTCAGCTGCTGATGTTTGGGAGTAGCAATTGATAATGCTGATGGTATTTCCAGGTTGTAGTCGTAAGATGTTTAGTCGAGGGTGATAAAATCTCATGCGAGCCGACAAGATGGACAACTTATGGGAAGGGATAAAGCCAACCATCTTTTTGAAATAGAATGTTCTATCACAAGTGATGAGGGTCTAGTCAACTGTCGCACGTCCTTTTTGTCTTTCTTCCATGCAAAGCGATGACGTGGTACTTGATGTGCTCTGCAGCGTCGAAAAGGGCGTGGATGTCGGCGTTCATGAAGGCGGTTTTGGCGTTGTATGTGCAGAGCATGAGGAAGTCTCCATGGCATATCGTCTAGACAGAAAAGTGCCGTTTTTGTCCGATGCAGAAGAACGCCCTAAGCAGCACGACATTGCTCTTTTACAGCCCAGCGCCGTAGGCAGGATCAGATGTGTCTTTTCTCTTCTTTTCTTCTTGCTGTGCGGTTAAGAAGAATTCCGACAAGAGCAGACTTACCAGGTTGTGCTCTTGCCTTCCGCAGGGAGATCGCCGACCCTGGTCTACCTGCAGCCAAACGGTGAGGAATCTGGCCTGGCCTGCTCTTAGCTGGATCCGGCCAAAGCTGGAGATGTCAACTCATTCACAATTTGGGAGAACCTAGAGAGTATACACTTGGTTGTGCATTGCAGTTCGACACCCAGTGTCACACCCATGCCACGTTAAGGCGACAGAATAGGCCGGGGAGGGGGGGGGGGTAGAATAAATTACGTGCATCAATTGCATTACGTAATGGTGGTCATCCGGGATAGGTTTCAACACTTAAGTCTACTTACCTTGACCAAGGCGTTTTTTTAAACTAGCTATTGCAGTTGGTTCTATTGGCCTTATTTCTACTTGTTATTCCTCTCCATATCACACTAACTAGGGCTATTATCGTACGTGTACTCAGCGTATAAAGTTTTGATCACAAATCTACAAAAATTAGGACCGACATTGTCGGGACAGTACCTGTGGTATAGGTTTGCTGAGTTCAACATAAAAAAATTCTCAGCATTTTTTTTTGTTGTTACAAATAGCGCTGAGAACGGGTTCATACGTGCGAGAAAATTGTATATACGTATTTGTGCACTTCTTGCTGCTTCTGGTGTTTTCACACAATAAGGCTCACATCATAGAAAACTGAGAAAATAACTTTCGTAATATGTGCAAAAGACCGATCAGAAAAGGTAAGTTCTCTATTTTTTCTCTCATTATCTATTTTTCAAATTTCCTTTTACTTTTATAAATCATTTCGGGGAAAGAAAAAAGTTTCCTTGGTGGTTTTACGCATAATCGTACGAAAAATCTTTCTGTGAAGGAATAGTGCGAAAAACTTCTTTTTTGAAAAGAAGGCGTAGCCTCGTCCTTCCCTTGGATAATTTTTTGGAATGCTTGAAATTAGCGGCCCTATAGCTCCAAATTCCAAAAAGAGATGTGGCGGCAGCCATATCCGCAAAAAATTTTTACGAGTCAGTTCAGGTCTCCAAAAAGTGTTTAAGGTCAATGTAAAATATTGTAAGTAAAAACAAGTCAGCTACGCGAAATTTCACATGCCATTTTAGCCAAAAAAATACCACAGGCCACTCTCCCCTCTCGGTCAGTAGCTTATTTTTATTGACCGACTTCCTGTGCTTTTTTAAAATAGTTTTCCGAGTACTGACGATGTAAATATTGCACTTTTACTGAAGCTTCCCATCTTCGCTATCCTCATTCTGTAAGTAAGGGAACAGAAAGACCACTTTTCGTCCCGTAAAGATCAGCAAACCTTCCCCCCCCCCTCGACCCCACCCTTCAATCTCTTTTTCCTTCTTTGTCAACTACCGTAATTGACGGTGTAGTGCTGAACCGCATTAGAGCTCCGCCCATTTTGCTAGCAAAAACAACGGTGTGCAGCCGTCGTGCACCTGTCGCGCACCCCTCTTTATATTTCGGACCACATAATCGAGAATCGTTTATTGCTATGCGATTATTGATCGCTTTTCTATTGATCTACCCAACAATAGCGCATAAGAGTGAGTCTTTAAGATAAATTAATTTATTTTATTTTTGAATCCGAGTTAAATGGTTCTCCCTACTTTGTCCAAGAATGCGGGTTTCCCTCTAAAATCGCGTTTCAAATGATTTTTATTCGCGTAATTTCACTGCGAAGAGAATTTCCGCTCTTTTTCCGGTTTCAAATCACTTATATAATTTTTTTCTCCTTTTTTGTTGTATGCGTATGCATATTTTCCGTGTAAAGACTTTTTTCCTTCTTTTCCTGTTTCACGACGTATTTATAAGTTTACTTCGCTCTGAACCGTCCTTTAACAACAAGTCGGCTTTCACCTCGTCTGGCATGTTTACTGCAGCGATTCTCCTCGTTCTACCCCATTCGCTTTCTTTTCAAGACCATTGTCATACGAATACTGTCGATCTGAAAATAATTCGATCACGCTCAATCGAAGTGAATTGCTGTTGGCACCTGTCCTATGCCATTCGATGTAATTCTCGTTTTTTTCAAAGTGGAATAAAACGCTGGAACGGTAAATCTATTGTTTTTTTTTGCTTGCTTCCTCAGCAGTGGTTGTCTACGTTTCATGCGATAGTTTTGCCTCTGCCTTTTCTATAATTGATTTTAATCAAAAAATTTCATCCTGTAATTGATATGATCAGGATTACAATTTTTTGAGGTTCTTGAAGGTAAATAAAATATTCTCGTCACCTTCATGACATTTTTATTGTTCAATTTTGAGGGTGTGATGGTTTTTACATCCTTTACGATGTTGACCACTCCTCCTTTTGCTCTGATGTACTTTCTGGCAGGAGTTCATAAGAAATGTGAGAACTGCCACCATTCCTCTACCTAGACATTGTCATTTTGAATCAGGGTTAAGGATTTTTTCCATAACCCTTATTCCCAATGAGAATCAGTAGTAGAGCATTCATAAAAGTCGTTCCATATAGCTTTTAGATTCTGAACCTAAAAATCTCAAAATCAGAAAAAATACCCCAACTTTTCAACAAATTTCGTAAGAAATTTGTTGAAAAGTTTGAGTATCTTTTCTGCTTCATCCCCATAATGCGAAAACCACATACTGCTTTCTGAAGTAGACATAATTTGTTGAAAAATATATCGCCTGCACTTGCCAAACTTTCAAAGTACGCTGAACCAACTCGTATTTTACGGTATGCCCTAATATAGAAATAAACTTTTAGATTTTCTGTCAAGCTACCTATTAATACAAATGAATCCGACTGCTTTGTGTTTAATTTTATAATTCAGGGCTATGTGAATCGGAAGGGACGTGTCGGCAGTGCGCAGATTCACGATATTCCTATTACAGATGCAATCAACAGGTACGGTATAATCTTGGATATGTGCCAATTTTTTTTTACTCCACCTCATATCTCAGCGAGTTCTGATTTTTAGCTAATTAAAATTCCAATAAAATTTTTTCATAAATCCTTGACACATTTTCCCTATGTTTGTTCTCATCGGTGTTTATCTGCTCACGGCTTACTGTAAAGGTACGGTAACTACCAACTGCAATATTTCAGGACGACTGCTTTCTCGGCGAAACATGCGACCGGGGCTTTTGCTGCCCCATACCACGGCCCCTCATAGGCCTACAAAGCGAAGGTTAGTTCTGACCATCCGGTAGTTCCACTCACCCATTCACGGCTTTCTAATCCCAGCTACGAAGCAATTATCAGCTTTTTTCCTCTTCTACGCTTACGTCATCGGCCGATCAATAACCATTTAATAGCTTAATTATCCCGAATCTGCAATTAGACGCACTATAGCACCACGCATAATACCGCAACCTGCTGCACATGATAAACCTACCGCTATGACGGGCAACTCGCACACCGATGCGGACGAGTTATGTCCGGATGGATCCGAGTGGACAAAACGATGTCGGCAAGAGGAAGATTGCGACTTGAACAAGGAAGTCTGCGCTGAGGGAAAGTGTTGCGCAAGTGAGTCTGAAATTATGATTTCTTCGTAGCACAAAAATTATCGTATCTAGGGGACAACTCAACTCTAGTAAGCTGCAAACAAGCAAAGATAAAGAATTTGACCATCACAGTTACATCTTATAAAATCTTTTTTTTTTCAGTTTGCCCCTCTCCACCTTCTTCTCGCTCCTGAATAAGCAGCGAGGTCTTTCATTGTCTATGCAATTTATGAGGAAAATTTGCGTTATTCTCATCAAAAACAAAGGAACAATGCTCCAACATCTGTAGAGGGAAACCCGTACAATATAAGGCTTTTTTTTCAGTTGGACAAATCCTTAGAGTTCTAGTCTATCTGATCATTTTGACCCAAACATTAGTTAGTTCCACTTGCTCGCAATTTTTTTCAAAGAGTGTACCCGGGCCCTGACTCAAGAATTTCATTTAATAACCCAAAGAAAGGAAAAAGCCATGATACAAGTTCGTTATGCATCTCTTTGCACTGTGTTAGGTTATTGACTCATGCATCGAAGGAATCTAAAAATCTCTTGGGAATGTTCTAAGCTTTTCATAATATAAATAAATCACATTCTAGCTATCTATACATATCAGGAATGTTCTTTTGGACATAATCAAAATTATGATTAGATTGAAAGTCTTATTTATTTTTAGAGAGATCCGACTAAGAAGAGTAGATGACGAAACAAAAGCAAAAGTGCAATTAGATTTTTCTGGATTTTCAACATTTCTAACGACAATTTGAGATGCAAATCAATTTTTTTATCGGCTGTATCAACGTGATATGGCAATAATGTTAAATTGAACAAAGGAAGGGAAATTCCAATGGAAATTACGGAAATTAGGAAAATTTAAAATTTTGGTGCTAGAATTATCGATTTAATACGACGACATTTTTATTGTAAATGTGAAGAGCGCTGCTCTTTCTTGATATAGCTGCTCTGTCTAGCCTAATTTAAGAATGCTAAATTTGACTGAATGGATCTTTACTCGACACCTTAGCAATATTAGTTTGTTCTTGGTTGAAATTGGATTGTTATATAGAGAATTACAGAATTTCGTTTTTTCCTCTAATAGTTGAGTGTAAACTCCTTCGAAAATTATAGCAATAAATCAAATTATTCATACATTGTATGGATGAAATGTTTATTGGCATATCTTGCTGACTCGCTTTTTTGAGACTTGAAGAGCCTAGACAAGATGACATCGGTTCTTATCCCTCTATCCTCCCATTTCTCCGCTTTCCCTCTTTCCCGATTTTATTGTTAGTATAAGACCTTGCCGCGTCACTTTCACCGTGATGTAATTATTCAAGAAAACATGCGCATCTGTTGCCTTTATGTGCTGATGTTTCTGCTTGCTGGTCGTCGTCAGCAACTCAGCACAGTCCTTGGCACGGACAGGTTCCCTGGTCGCCTAATCCCTCGCCATCATTTTCGTAAGCGTTTAATAGCCATGCAACCATTGCGCAATGCCATTGATACACACCATATACGGCATACGCGTTTACGTTAAAATTTGGTCCCGATGGGAGAAAGTGGGGGTCATGGCAGAATTCCTAAAAAAAAATCGCTAAAGTGACTTGAGCTCTTTGTTTCGAGTTTGACGCCTTCGAAAGACCTCTGAAAGCTCACCGCCCACCCAAATTGAGGTTGGTACGATTTGACGTGGTTTGATAGCCGAGCCCTTGGCTAGGTGATTGCCCAAGTCCGGGCGCAACAGATGAATTCTGAAGCGAGAAAAAGGCTCCAGAATGTGGAAGCGGCCGAGGTGGCTCCGCCCATCCACATGGGTGAACTGAAGATAAGAAGTACAAAATCGAGTTTCAATGCATCTGAAATGCGTCATAAATCTGTCCTTCATTACTGTTTACTGTCAGATTTTCAACATTTCCATCTACCCTGAATCCCGTTTTCGAGCTCATTGTCTTCAGGCTGCCCACGTTGATGGGATGGGCGGAGCTACCTGGGCCGCTTCTGCCTTCTAGAGCGGTTTTCTCGCTTCGAAAAAAATCTTTTGCAGCGGAAGTTGGGCCATTACCTTAGTTAGGAGCTCCGCTATTATAGAGCATTGAAATCTCATCTTCCTCAATTTGGTCAGACGGTGCCTCTAATCCCGCCCCCCCCCTTGACGATGAGTCAAGCAGTGACCATGAGCTGACCACCAGCTAAGGTCAACAACCTCCTGATCCCCTCCACTTCGCGAACTCTCCCAACGACCTCAACCCCTCTCGAACTCCAATTCGGACAAATCTCCTGCCACCTTCTTGAACAACATTTGGCGAGCGGTGTGATTGACCTCGTCTGAGGACGCGCTAGAGGCTTTTTGCAACAAAATTAGCTTTAAGCCCTCTAAGTTGCCCCGTGGAGAACACCGCAGGTTTCTTCACGTGACCACAAAAAACGCGCTAAATTCTTGTCTGCCTAAGTTTGAAGAGTGTCAGATGGGGAAGCACTAGAGAGTGATGGAATAATCATGGGAACGCGATCTTTGGCATTCGACCTCCGCTTAATTGTTAGCGGGGGCTGTCAAGACTGGCATTTACTTTACTAAGTGTTGAGACTGTGGCATTACATAACTTGACTAATGTTGGATTGTAACCACTTTGAACTCGAATTGGTTCCGCCATAAGTGGATTTTTTGATAATCAAGTAAAGAGAAAGGAAAACTTGAAGGTGAACCAAGAAGTTTGAACATTTTATGGGGATACTAATCTACCACAATCAAACTTTTTCGATTTGACAAAGAAGGTGCCGAAATTATTCTTAATAATCGATTCGATCGTTTGATCTGCGTACTCCAATAACTTTCATTACGTTCTATGAAATCATTCAAACGCGTAGTTCGCTTGTGACAATTAATTGGCTGTAAATATCACTTGAACACATATATCGCATACGTTTTTTTTTTGAGAGCGCGACTTCTAATACACCTGCTTTTCCCAGAATTCTGGGATTGCAAGCAAATTTGAGAAGCATTGCGAAAATTTTTAGCTGACCCTTCAACTACTTTTGTGAAATTATAGGGTTGCAAGTATTTGGAAAAGCCATAGCCCCCGTCATCTCCAAGAATATTTTTTGCACCCACCTCTCGAAAAAAATTTCTGAAACAGTCACTACTTCATGACGATATGTAACCTTGATCCTGTTCTGAATGCTTTTTTGCTTCGGGTAGCAGATTATTGCTCAGAGGGGGGGGGGAGAGTCACAAAAACCTTTTTACACGAGTTACGATGCTTTGTAAACTTGAATGCATTGCCGTCATACCTCAAAAAAACTTATTCAAAATCACCTGAATCCAAGATTTTGCCTTGTAAAATCAGTCTAAATACAAGTGAATCGCTCTACATGTCAATAATTAGCTGACGATAACTAGTCTAATATAAAGAGGGTTTTTGTTTGCAGCCTGTTCCCGTCAACGACGGGCTTTTCTTGATGACATTGCGCAGAATGAACTTCTTGGACTAGCAATCCCTCAATGTGAGGCTGATGGAAGATACTATCGCATGAAGTAAGTGGCAAATCTGGAGATTTAAATCTTAAACGTCATTAGTTGAATGTTGAATAGAATCTGTATTCGTTTCCAGCATTTTGAAAATACTCGGTTTTTTGGATTTGTCTTATTTACCACTTCTTCGCAAACAAAAGTCTCGTCAGGGATCGGATTTTTTTCTGCTTAAATTTTCTGCTTCTTCGAGACCATCAATCAGAAAGTGAAAAGGTTTTGTGCTACACTTTAGGCAGTGTCTTGCTGGGACCGAAGTTTGCTGGTGCGTAAATCCCTTAGGCAGAAGAGTCACCGGTGGTGGTCCTGATTGTGAGCCTAGGCGCAGAATGCAAGAAAACATGGCTTTAAGAGCAGTGAAGCTCAGAGAAGAGCTAAAGAGAGGGAAAGTAAGAGCTTCGATTTTTGTAGCATGCAATGCTCTAAACAAAATGAGCAGGTGGGTCTTGACATGAACAATTCTATGATTTTCTTTTGCAGATTTGTGAAGATTACCGAGAAGGCGATTGTCCGGACACCCCTACTGATAACATCACATCATTTAATCCTTGCTTATGCGACTCTGATTGCCCCATTGCACTCAAATGTTGCCCACATCGCAAAGGACTAACATGCCAAGCACCCGGTACTAACGCTTACTAACCAAGTGCTGTGCATGTATAGTGTTCTTAACTCAAAAATTATCCTGAGTGTTTATTTTTTCAACTGGAATAATTGAGACGCCTTTTATTAGCCAGAGCCCAAACGGTAGCTCATATGGTCTACTCATAGTCGAGAAATTCGTCTCTAAATTCTGGCCCATCTAACCCCTACTGGTCCGTCCAAAAGGAGTACTGTAGTGGGCGAGAGCATCTTGCTCCGTTTTGAATGAATTGTATGAGCTGCCACTTTGCCAGTGCTTGGTTAAGTTCTCTCAATCGGTTTCCATATGAGGAAGTCAGGTATCTGACTCGCCTAGAAACCAAAAATTCGAAAATATTTCTAGTGCTAACTCCGTCTGCAACGACGCTCATCTGTGGCGTAAATGAGCAGTTCTCGGCGTGTTACACACCTTGTCAACCGTCATGTGATGATCCGACACTGTTGCCATGTCCACCACCCACATGTACACCAGGCTGTCATTGCCAGCCAGGTTGGTGCACATTAATGAGTAAAATAATAACAATCATACAAGATTTGCAAAACAATTTTCTAATCAAGAATCTGCCCTCAAATGATTTTGAACTTAATTTTTTGCTAATTTCGCAAATTATTTTTGGGATTGTTAAGATTGATTCTAAGGTGAAATTCACGTAGCATACTTTTCAAGAGCTACTTTTCTTCGGTGTAGAAACTCCAGTTTGAGATTTTCCGGCCTCCTTCAAAAATCAGAACCGTTATCTCAGAAATTAGCCTTCGTGGGTTTTTTAGCACTATGAGTAAGGTCACGGCACTTCTTTGGCAGAGACCTCTTCAATCTTTCCTCTCTCCCACTTAGAAAAAAGTGTCCGTTACCGATTTTCAAAATTTCTACTGGAAGTACACGAGTAGACAGTCACTTTTGCCACTTACGTAAATTGTTCTTGTAAGTAAATGTTCTTTTTCAATCAAAAATTTGAAGAATTTTTTACTTTGATATCAGCTATAGTTTCTAAATGTGGATTTCCAGTAATATGTTTGAACCACTCAGTAAATCACTCAAGTTCAGGCTTCATACGAGCCGACGGCTCGGCGCGATCGGCGTGCGTGCCGCGCGCGGCTTGCGCAATGTATGATATCTCAACACATTGTCTGGACGAACGTCGACAGTACCACAGTTGTGGATCAGCCTGTCCAATTAGCTGTGCGACAAGAAATTCGCCGAGGTGAAAAAAAAACCAGAATTTCTCCGAAAATTCTTCTCTGTTTTTTACAACTTCTCTGGCAATTTCTTTTCCAGATGCCATGAAAACTGTGTTTCCGGTTGTTTCTGCAAAATTCCATACATTCTTGAAAACGGTAACGATCCACTACATTCAAAGTAAGTCCAACCCTATACGAGTCAAGAAATCGATTATTGATTGATTCTAGGTGCATTCTTCCATCACAGTGTCCAATGTTCACATCAACATTAGAAACTACTGGAACTTCGATGACAGCTATGGTTCCCGTGGCGAATAGGGTAAGAAAAAAATCAAAGAAACTCACCGTAAAACGCATCCAAAGTTTTTGGATTACTGTAATATTCCTCAGGAACGAAGTCAAGTCGGTGCTGGTGGCACTTATGGTACACATTATCCCACTCCTGGAGTGGCTACCTTAATCCCACAAACTACCCACTGCAGTGACCCTTTGAAGAATTTCCTAAACTGCGGAACAAAATGCCCAGGTAAATCAATATATTGATTTATCAAAAGCTTACCATCAATAATTGATCTTTTAGTGGGCTGCAATGACCTGAACCCGTCTTCCTCCTGTAGTTTAGCGTGTGTTTCCGGATGCTTCTGTCGTTCACCATATATCCTAAGCGATGCCAAGGTAAATCACGAAACGCAAATGCAGACTTAGCTTACCCTTGTTTTAGGACCCCCAGTCAGTTTGTGTCCTGCCCCAACATTGCCCACGCGTTACAGTAACGCCTGGTACTTGCGCAGATCCCAGGAAGGAGTGGACGAGTTGTGGAGCTTTAGGGTCAGTCTTTCCTTTCCTTATTCAATAGGTAAACCATAAAGTGTGACAAATATAATTTCCTAACAATTCCTTTCATGGCACGACTTTACCCTTACACTTCACAAACATATAGAAAATTATGCAAAAAAGTCTTGAAGAGCTAGGTAACATTAAGGATTATGTATCGAAACTTCTGCCTTAGTGAAACGTTTTTTACTTCTCTCTCGCTGAGTTCTACTAATATTTATGAATGGATTCTAATGCTGTGGTAATTAGCCACCTCATTACGATGATTCTTCAATTTTTCCAAATCTATCTATACTGTCAAAACTACGTCTTAGCTTTCTCCAGATGTGCACGATCGTGTACGAATCCGCTAGGACGTTGCGATGCTGGACTATGTTCTGCGGGATGTATTTGCAGAGAACCATACGTCTTGCAGGTAAGCCCACATATTTATATGCTTTCATAAATTACTATAAATAGACTTGATGCATACGCAAGTGGCGTGATTTCCTGCAAACTATTATGATACAGGCACTGTTCAATGATACACAATTTGTGGCAGATGCGCGCGGTGCAGTGCATTTGTACAGAATCACAGCTGAAGAGCTTCTTAATTGCTTTTACGGATTCAGAAAGGACATTTTATGATGTTACAGTACTCTTACAGGCAGACAACCTTACTAATTATCTAGAAACCATCTGAACAGCTTCGTAGTTGATTTTACAGATCTAGAAAGGACCATTATCATACAAGTACCTCTAATTGGTACATTCTTGCCGCTACAGTACCATCCATATATCGCCATTTGGTACCGTAATCCCTAAAATGTCGAGTCCATGAAAGTACTCAATCAGCCTCGCAGGACAATATCAAGTGTGGATTGGACCGGCGTCAATTTACGCTCCATGAAACGCCGTACCGCCGGTGACGTCACGAAACGGAGCTGGGGAGCGATAGCGTCGCACACGGGGCCGCGTTGTAGTACGCGCGATTTATATTGCGCCGTAGAGTTTGCGGGAGGTCTTTCGGCGTTCAACGTGTGGAAATGACAGAAAATCTATTTTCAGTATTATTTGTGACATATTTCAGGATCCGTTCGATCCGTCGTCACGTTGCGTTTTACCATCAGAATGTGAGCGGAAATGTAGTGATCCATTGAAGGTGGGAATAAATTTTATAAAAATATTTCTTGATTTTCACTCAATTTTCGAGCCAATTTTACATTTCAGGAGTATTTTGAAAATATGTCTATGTTTTCTCAAGCAATTTTTTCTTTTAAGCCACATGGCCTTGATTTCAGGAATTCGTCGTTTGTGGCTCATCCTGCCCAGTTGGATGCGATAATCGTCGTCCACAAAGCTGTACACCTTGCGAATCCGGATGTTTCTGCAAGAATGGTACGTTAACAAATAATTTAATGCACAGGATGAGAATAAAGGCACGAATTATTTGTTGAACTGTAGAGAAATAGTTATTTTACCAGAAGAAAAGAAACAAAAATTTTTTCGACGAAATTTTCTCACGGTAAACAGCTTTGAGTTAAATGGTCGTGTTTGTGTTGTACTGCATACTGAAATTGAACAAAGCGACGTTTTGCTTTATCGCTAGCAGAAAAACCTTATGAAAGTAAAGCGGATCTTTTTAGGAGGCTTAGGGGCAAAAACAACCTCGAAAAAATTTTAGAATTATGGACGGCAGCATTTCATAATCCCTTTATTATTTCTTGTTTTCATGCGCGTTTGAAGAGATCATCTCCATCTAGGTCTGGTCTTCCTGAACTCCACAGATTGGAGAAACTCAAAGTGCGTTCGTCTTGAAGAATGCCCAGGATCCAATGATGAAATTTCTGAAACTACTGAATCACGAAAATCATCCACATCAACCACAACGACAACAGCAACATCTTCAGCATCTTATACTTATACAGAATCGATTGATACAAACAACAGAGGATTAGTCATATCAGCAGGTAGTCTGTCCAAAATGGTTTGAGTGATAAATTTTTGAAGTTCAGATGGCCGCACAGCGGGTTATTCCGCAAAATGTCCGACAACTACCCTAGATGTCGGTGGCAGGTCATGCTTGTCAGATACGGATTGTCCAGCAGACCAAGTAAGTCCAGATTTGGGATGGAAGCGTTTATCGATAAGTTGTGCCCTATAATCTCGTAATGTTGACTATTTTGTGATTGAATATGGTTTGGGCAGCTTGTATGAATCATTCCGGCCGAAAACCAGATCTAAACAACACTCGTCCAGTACCGTATTCTTGGGCGCATCCAATTTGCAAAAGTGCTGTAATGGGCGAGAGCTCAAAGCTGAATTTTTCGGCCTCAAATGATTCATAAGAACTGTCACTAGAGTAATGACTTGGTCGAGGCTTTACAGTCAATAGTTTTCCACTCAAAATTCCGCCCCCCTCCCCACTTCGGCTTCCACTTTTTTGGTCACTTCTTTTAATCACAAAAAAGCATTCATGCAAATAAGTACCATCTTCTTAATAATGTATCATTCTGACAGTACAGGGTGCTGCAAAAGTCTGGGGGCCTAACTTTGCAGTACTGCAGTTACAAAGATACTGATGGTTTTGATTTCAATTTTATGCCACCTGATGCTGCGGTCATCCTCCATAGAATACACTTTATTTGGCTGGAAATGGCTGCCATATGTTTTTGTAAGAATGGAAAATACCAAACTAGTGCTTTTGCAAAGCGAAAAAACCAGAATTTTTGGTATTTACAATTTCTGCTGTGGCTAGAAATACTGTTAATATGCTGCGACACTTCGATGCACACAACATAGAAGAGGCTTTGCGCTATTGTATCCTAGTTTTGCTTTTGCCAAAAGCTGTTCTTGCATGAACAGAAAATAAAAGTTTGCGAATGTTACCTACGTGCCAGTAGAAATCCGTCTTCAGGACAAATTTAAAAGCTATAGAATGCTCAACAGGCACTGGGACCACGGCTGTATTTTCTGCATACGTCTTCTAAATTATCTACTGAAATTCGGCCATGGAAACACTTTTTATACTCATAGTTTTAGGTTTTTATTCGCGCAATTGTAGCCAAAATTCCGGTATGCGACGTACACATGCTTCTAATTGAAAATCCAATATTTTTATTCCTAAGCAATGCAAAAATTTCTTTTGAAAGTATGTTGTAGACAAAAGTTTGCTCTATCATGCTACGCATTTGCCAAGGTAAAAGAAGCAGTTATTGTGAAGGCGTGGGGCGAATTCCTTTACGACTATTTGCGTGCCATGACAGGTGGACCTGCCAAGATTTTGTAGGGCTGCGTGGAAGTCAAAAGAGGCAGTTTTGCAATTCAAGAACTGGGCTGTATTTGCAATGGTTCGAATTACGTGTGCGCCAAATTTTTCGTTTCTAGGTACTTCCCTTCTCGTTTTGTACGAAAAAGTACTAGGCTCCCAGACTTTTGCCGCACCCTGTATTTCTTGAAAATTCAAAGCTCCCGTGTCCCAAGATAGTTCGGATTATTTTACTATTTTTTAAGTTCGGATTATTTTTTGCTATTTATTTTTATTTCAGCATTGTTGCCGCGCGCTGATTGTCTCTCTCGGAGTGAATCCACAACGATGTACTTGTTCCGATCCTCATGCGGTATTCTCATCCTGTGGTAGCCTTTGTCCTGAGTACTGTGGAGAGCCGGGGGTAAGGAATTCAAATCAGATGAGTCCATCATATTTAAATCAAACTTTATTTCAATTTTTTTTAGATTCCACATTGTTCCGCTACTTGTAATGCTGGATGTCACTGTGCACCTGGATATGTGAAAGCTCGCAACGATCTCACTGCGCCTTGCGTCCCAAGGGAAAGATGCTCTAATTACACGACGAGTAAAAGTGAGTTATGTCTTCACTTTAAAAAACGTGCTTTTATTTGTACAAAAAACGACAATCTCGTTTATTACGATGGCAGCAGTGAAAATGTAAAAGGATGGAGGGACTGGGGCCAAAAATGAGGGGCCTAAAAGTCTCGCAAATTTTGTTGAGAAATTTAAGGACTGTAAATAGTCCAGAAAACTGTAATCATCTGAAATGCTCCAAATAAAGTTTGTAGTAAGCCTGCGAAATTGAAAACCTTTCCTATATACTCCCCAAAAATTTTTCCAAACTCCCTTCCACCTCCGACTAAAAGTTACTGCAACCGCCACCAGCTAGTAACGATAAACAAAGAATTTGCTGTCATTTTAGCAAGTAACGATGAACCTACTAACCGTGCCACGATGAAGGAAATCGCTCCTAAAGATCCATTTTCGGACCAGCAGGTATATTTTATTCACTTCTTTTGTCCAGAAATAGTGTTCTTGGTATTATTTGTGACATTCATTACCTTGATTTTCCAAAGCTCATTAGACCTTTACTGTACATTTCTTTTGCAGCTGCTTTTGTATTCTCGCAATCGAGCAGCTTCGGAACATTTATATTTAAAAATTTTTACCGAAGCTAATTCTCATTTCAGCTCGCAACGGCAAATCTTGTACCAGCCGCGAAACTCGTCTCGGGAAAGTTCAGTTTCACCCAGATCACCGCTAACAACCTACGAATTAGCGGTAATTTTTTAGAATCAACTAATTGTTTTTCTATACAATCTGATGCAAAGTTCTTGCGTGTTGGGCTGATTTTTGATGGTGAAACCAAAGTAATTCAGGAGTGTTGACGGGTCTGCCACCGGGAGAACATGCTGTCCTGATCCATCAGTTTGGTGATCTCTCAGAAGGTTGCTCACGCCTCGGACCTCCCTTCTTATTCAGAGGAGGAAGAGGAACACCGTCTCTGGGTGATGTTGTGGGTAAGTAAATATCCATATTATTTACCAATTCTATTTGTCGAATGCTTGTTTGCCGAGGCTAAGGAGAGGTTATTATAGCTGACGACTCCTCAACAGCGTCGTTTACCCGTGTAGTCGACTGGCCCATAGTTGATGTCATTGGCCGGTCTATTGCTATTTATAGGTGAGTCGGAGTGGAAACGCTTAGGTGAAAATTGGTGTGTTTGGTTATGTCTCACTAGTGGGCATTCAGAAATTGTGTGGTTCTATTTATATAACTTCTATATTCGCCCGAAATGACAATCTGCTTTAATGAACTGTCGGCTTTGATTTTGGCCAAACCTATCTCGCAGCTTAGTTTTTGCTTTGATTTTGTACATATATACAGCTTGAATCATTTGGTACCTACCAAAGTATTCGAATGCCCCTCCAGATAATTATAACCCGGAATGTTATGATCTTATCTTAAGAAAATCCAATTTGATCAATTACTATGAATCTTTGCTAGTTCCCTGAACAGGTGGCTTTTTCATTCGAATATTCACGTGAAATAAATGCATTTCGGACGTACAAAAGATAATAATTCAAGTACTCCATATTAGTATTGGTCTCAATCAACTTCCATAATTATCTCAGAATTACAAGACATCTCCATTATGAACAGTTTGTGAACTCATGCTTATCGTTAGAAAGAGTTTTCGCTTATTAATCATGTCAGATAATTAGCCCCTCCCCCCAAAGTTACGGTAAGTTAAATGCAACCATGGTCATTAATCCACTTCATCAACATCGCTATTGGCCAAATTAGTAAATCAACCAATAGCGAAGTGGCTGGATTGGGTGAATTAGGCATCCGCTTCGCTATCGGTCAGTTCACTAATTTGAACAATAGCGAAGTGCTTGAAGTGGATCAAATATGACGCGCGCCTATGATCACTTACCGTACACCTAAAGTAAACTCTTAGATGTTAAAGATATAAATTTGATTTCTGTTGTAACCTTGCTCGAAGACGTAGTATAAGTTTTGTTACCCTTGAAGGAAAACGTTCATAACTTTTTTAAATGATTTTTTCTTGACTGCAAACTTTTAAAGGAAAAAACGTTCGTAACTTTTCCATATGATTTTTTATCAACTCCAAACTGAGTTGATGATTGTATTTCCTCAATATATAAATGTCACACATGAAAAATCCAATTTTTGAATTTTCTAAAATTCTGAATTATTTTTGGCAGATTTCCAAGTTGCGTTATTGGAGACCCAGGACTTCCGAATGCCTCCGTATTAGTACTCAAGTTCCCGGAAATCGGTAAAAAAAATCTGAGAGCATAAAAAGTAAGAAGAGAGAATTATAAAGAAAAATGAAAAAATTGGAGATGCAAGTACCATTACAGAATTATTATTTTTAGTATAATGTATTCTTTAAAGGTGGAAATTATGTCATTACAAGTCTTTTGTCCATTGCTCGTAGGTACCAAATACATATTGCTAAAGTTTTGAGAGTTTTTGGAGGAAAGTGAAAAAAGTGTCATAAAACTTATGTTACAACCTAATATCTTAGCGTGGCGATAAAAAGCTTAGGTCGTACTTTGGTGCAACGTTGGTCGATTAATGTTAAGTTTTGTGTATGTAACTGTAGCCTTTTGCCGTACGCCTATAATTCCACAAATTTTCATGATTTTTCCGTTAGATTTCCGTTAAGCGGTTAAAACTCAGGAGAGCAGATTTTTGCTTCAGTTATATGGCAGAACGGCGAACAAGAGCTGTTTAGTAGTTGTTCGCTCAAAATATGTTTTCAAGTACAAAATTCAACTGCCCATTACCATAAGCGGTAATTATTAGATGTGAGAACAGCTCATGGTTATTCGCCAAGTCTATGATAGGTTTGAACTCCTGCGGATGTACTTGAGTTACCATAACAGCTACAAATTGCAATCCAGCACACAAAATCATAAGGCCACTTATTTTCTCTATAGCCTAGTCATTTTTCTTCAAAAATCCAGTCTATTGATCTTTACAGCCTATTCAAATGTTTCTGTTGCAGTCGCATAGCTGACCATGCACTATTCTCAAAACATTTTCTAGGTTCTCGACAACCGATTACTCGCTACAAACAAAAGATGAACTGCCTCTAGCATGTGGTACAATTGGACTTACTGCCTTTGCTCGACGTACTTGAACTCAAACGGTGATAATTGTAGCCCCACATGTATTGTTGACTTACTTGTACTTATGCCTTACCTTCTCACTCTCAGTTCGCTTACACTTTGTCACAGAGCATTCATTTTTACTTTTTTGGCATCCTTACCTGTTTTCACTTTTTCTAGATTGAATTTTCTTTGTATGATTTTCTTTTCAATTTTTGGCAGTATGCCTTGTTTTCACAATCTTTTGGATGCATTTTTTAAAAATAACCAAGCTGCCACATGTTACCATGATTTTTTGACCAATAAAAATGTCATTTTTTTAATGTAATTTATTTGCCTACGACATAAGGACGCAATGCGTCATTACTTCGAAAGTAGGTCTGGGTGATTCTGATGGTAGAGAGTTTAATGAGCAAAACTAATTGTGCAGAATGTTGCGGCTCAGAGGGCTCAGCACCCCTAGTCGTAACAGTCCGACCGCCATACACAACCAATCCCTAGCCCTAGGACGTTACGCGTCCGACACCGCTGGATCCACACGGCGCGTCCACTCGACGCGGTCACCAAAATAATACACCCGCACAGAACATGACTAGATTAAGTAAGTTTATATACCAAACAACAATAAAGTAGACAAATAACAAAGAATACTACTAAACTACGGATTCCTAAACTACGAGAATAAATAAGAACAAGTTACGGGACGAGCCGCGTGTCCCAGAATACCGATGAATGAGAGAGATCACTCCAACTATGAAGTTCTGGGGTTCTCCTCAGAGTCGACCGCAAGGAGGCCCAGTCCAATGGAACGGCGCCTCACCAAGCTCCACTCCCGCATGATGTTCATCTACAACTTTCGACTTTCCTTGCGCTTACGCGCGACCATTAACAAGACATAAAGGAAAGGCTCAACCGCTCAACCAAAAGTCCTCGAATGCGGGAGCTGCTTGAAATGTAGCCGAATATAATAAGATAATCGATAATCACACAAGAGTCGAAGAAGAGGCGGCGGCTGCTCTCTCAGCAGCCTTATATACCCCGCCGCTTGGCTACCTTCCAAGCTGGAGGTGGTCCTGCAGCAGCCTACAAAAGGCGCGACAGGCAAATGCGGCAAACAGCGCCCCCGGCCTCCTGTTCCGAGGAGCGCTCTGCATCGCGGAGCCGCGACACAGAATTAAAAAGAAATGTGATGACCACTTGATCGTTAGCTTTCTTATCTAAAAAGTCTTTATCCATCAAGCGCCATGTTTAGAGCTGGCTCCAGATTGGATTTTTGCAGTCGGAATTGAAAACCGGATCTTCTTCACAATTGTAGGATTACGGTAGATACAATCAGCATAAGGTCTATGCAAATGAGCTGATATTCCTATTTCAAAAATACTGAAATCTTGCGTGGCGCGATTTGTGGACCCTTATTTAAAAAATTTTCGCAGACAGTTTGGATCATCGCATCTTGATGACCATCAGGAATCCGCTCCCACGGTTTACCTGACGTAAGTTATTGACCAGAGAGTAGTCTTCAAATCAATTTGGCAATATCTAAAGCCATTTTTTTCTGGTGCAAAACTCTTATAGAAGTCTCATCAAAACCCTATAGTGATGAAGAGAGATCGTTGTTCCCTTTTGAACAATCTCAGTTGAAGCCAGCTTTACAATACCCCATGAAGCTCCGAAAGCTATTTAGATAAGAAAATTATTTTCGACCGATGTTTACAACATTTTTTAGAATCCCTGCATGATAATCCTGGAGAAAAAAGCGGAGACTTGGCAAAAAAAGGTATTTCCAATTTTTTATTGCTTGCAGAAACAAGTATGTCACTATACTGCTCTTATACGCATTCGTATGGATGAGCATCTGACACCTAGATGGCACCCAGATGGCACATAAGCGGCACCGAGGCTTAGTCGCATCAATAGTCCATCCGTTTAAAATGAAAATATGCAATTAATCGCAAATTATGAGATTTTTTTTCTTCTCCAACCCATTTATAAGGATCTCACTCTAACTTCGTACTCGATTGGTTCGGTCACCATAAAAATCTTATTTTAAAATAGGCGACTACAGCAATGTTTCTGACTAGAAACAGACCTTATCTTTTTCTTAACAAGGACCTGAAAAATCCATTCACATAAGTTACAACTTCATTCCATGATTAGTTTCTAACGATGGCGACGCCGAGAACTCGGCCGGTTTTCTTATACCATACCCCTCCCTACGGAAAAATAACGAGATCTGTAATAAGTATTTGCAGAAATAAAGATATTACTAGAAATCCCGGAATTACCTTGGTGATTTGCCATAAATGGAAGCGTACATCGCTAATCTGATTTTCTCAGACGTTGAATAGATGTTGAAATATTGCCTTTGCCGCTATGACAACAATTGTTTGGGAAATTTCTCTTTGTTCGGTTATAGGTTGTCTACCGACCAGATGTAAAGCTTGCTATGTAATCTAGTTAAGCGAAGGAGTTCTCCCATTTTTTGAATTTTCTTGTGAACGGAATTTTAGATATCATAAATTTCAATTTTGGTTCATAAATTCTACGAGATTAGTACGCTTCGAACAGTGGCACGCTGAGGGCCGCACAAAATTTTTGGAGCTTTCCACAAAAGTTATAAGATTTATCAACTCTGTTTTCCTTGTAAGTGTTCAAAACAACATTTTGAGCTCTATAGAAACTCAAATTAGCTTACAAATTTTGGCGAACATGGCTGATCAGGGCCCTAATGTTCTAGAAAAAATTTCTCAACCCCGACTACTTCAGTCTTGATCAATGCATGCCTTTTTACACTTTTTCACAACTTTTTTTGTTCGTAGCGTAGGCAGTGGCTATTGCAATATTTTTTCGGTGGGAGCGACAAAAAAAATCAAAATCAGGAAATGTGTTTCCTGCCACGTTTTCCGAAATAATTTTCGCAAGCTAGTTAGCTTTCACACATCACTAGAAAACTTGCAACTTGTTGCAAAGCTTATTTTCATCCAAAAAAAAAATCAGTTGGAATGTTAATTGAATGACTCGATTAATTTATACGCTTAGGCTTTTAGAATCACTTATTGAAATCCATTAGTTCAGGGTAATGAGAAAATAAAACAAAATGCTACCTTTTTTCACCTCTTAATGCCAGTAGAACGTAAATCTGCAGTGTATTTTCAATTTCAATGACTTTTAGGCGTTTATATCCCATAAGAAAACTATTTTATGGAAAAAGATGGGTAGGCCAAAAAAACTACCCAAATGTTGTGTTCAATTTCGAAGCATCATTTCGTTTCACTCTATGTACTGCACAAAACTTTCAGTTTTAGTAAAAGATCACTATGTCTCTTTGAATACGTTTTATTTTAAAAATTTGCAGAAATATGTTTGCAAGTTCCGTGTTTTGAATAAAAACATTGTCGAATTTTCTTGCAACACTGAGTGAACACCCATTCATCCAGTTTTTTTTTGCTAAATTCCAGCTCAAGCATAACTAAAATTTTCTCAAGCAGAAATCTCAGTGACTCACGTTTGTGCAGCAGGCAAGTCATATTTTGGAGTTAGCGAAAATTTGGCCATATAGAAAGACTCCGTTTTTGATATTACATCCCATAGAGTCAAACTCAATTTCGTGCATCCACTTCCCCTATGGCTAGTTTATGCGCATATTTCTTGTAAACCAAATTCTCTTAGAAGCGAGTAATAATTCATTGCTCTAAGCATATCAATATTGACTCTATTGTGCTAAAATTAATCCTGCTTTTATGTTTTTGCATTGAAAAGTCCTTAACGGACTATATATCAGAGTGGTGATTTTAATAAAAAATTGCCATTCAAATAAATTAGTCTTAGGTGTTAGCATGGCGTCATTGTGCATTTTTACGACTTTTATACATAATTTAGAAGATATACAGAAGTCCGTGACTGATTCCATCTAATTTGAGCGTTTGTTAATCTAAGTAGTTTTGCAAAATTTCACGTAATTCAGAGCATGATGAACCAATTCTCAATTCTGAATAATTTTACTTAACTGCTGATCTCTTTTGTGTCTCTCCCAGTTCTCTACGATTTTCTATATTTGGTTCACTGTCTAGCATTTGATGAATTTAACGTATGTCTTAAACGTACGCATCAATTCAATGAACATAGATGATGAAGTTTTTTGGCAAATCTCCAGGAAAGAAGGAGGACGTTTCGTCTGCTAGTTTTCGCACATCGTGAGAAAAATTCGCGTAGGAAATTTTTGAAGTTACTCGACTTTATTGTATTCCGCTAGTTCCTTAGGGTGCCTTATGACCAGCTTCTGCCATTTATTTTATAGAATTTTCTACGTCATGCTTTGCTATGATTTTCCAGACCATTCGCCTTTGAATGACATTTTCTCTCACGTTTGCTAGTTTGTGGAAAATTTAACATTTTTGTTAATAATCCACACTGTCATTTTTCCAAATTTTCTAGTAAATGCTGGTAAACTCGTCCACTAGCGAAAAACTCATGCTCTGGGTGTTGCGCTTCTTATCAGATAACTTGGGGTGCTGAAGTATGAAGTCGGGCGGGTTGTTAAGGCGCGGCTCCCCATGGGACGAGTTCTAGCTGGGTGCTCAACGAGCCCATTATTCCATACTTCAAACCATTTTGCGAGCAAGTTTTATGTGGTCAACAAATGCGTAAACGTTCGTTCTCTGGCATCGCCATATTCCCTCTTTGGTAATGCCCCTGTGGATTGCTTAAATACGTCGTTTCTAGTCATATACAGCTTAGTCTTGTGCTCCTGCTATTTTTTAGAGGTAATCGCGGACACCAGGGTAGGTTAGGGAATTCAACATTCTCCGAAAAACTTTTCATGAAATATAAGTCCTGGGAAATGAAACATTTGTGTCTGAGATTTCTTAGACACGAGTTTTCTCATGGAAATTATGTTTTTTGAGATCCAAGGTTTTCACAGTGTAGAGGGTAGCAAAAAGCAAACTTTTCGTCTATTGGTTGAAAGAAAACATCATTGATTCCAGGGGTTTCTGAAGAAGGTTATAGTTGGATTGATTGGCTAGACACTCGA